ACTGTATATTTACATATTTACATATATACATATATTTACACTAGGCTACTTCTCAAGATGAAATTAGAAGTCTATCATTTGGCCAACGTGTGGCAGCATAACTCTTTTATCAAAATCTTTTATCAAACAGGTTAACATATTTTATTATCACATTCTGCAGTTGGTGAAACTGTTTCTTTTAACAAGTACTCAGACATAATGCACAAATTGCAATTATTAACCAAGCATGTTTTATAACATTTCTCAATGTGCAACCGAAGTTGCAACTCACTCTTTAAATAAATATTCCTGTTACAGGTTGTGTTTATAATAGAGAAACTAAATCGTTCACATCTCCACACTGCTGTCTTTTACATAAAGAAAGACCTTCTCAAATACAAATTGTCTGTCAAACATTCACAGCATCATCACATGTGTAGCAGCTTTTCATTGTTAACACGCATTATCTCGTAAAGTGCAAATAAAAGTCGATGCAAAGCTCTCAGATCTCTCGGTGAGAGGAACAGTAGTATCGATAAAACAGTTTGAGCTCAGCAAACACGTCCAGGTAGTGAACCTGGACGTGTTACTAAACATTTTTACTGTTGTGTTTAGTCTCCACACATCTTTCTGATTTATATCAAAGTTATACCAATGCAGCATTTGAGAAGGCCTTCTACCTTTCTTCAAAAACATAAATATGGCAAATACCTTGATCCCTTCATTTCACTTAAATAACATTAGTTATCACATAATAACAAAATACAGTTCATATTCAGGCTTGCAGATGTCGCCTGGTGCAGTGTGTCTTGTTATTACTGAGGTCCCGCATGAAAACATTGTTGGAGATGGCTCTCTTGCACATATAAACATGCACATATCCCCATGTCAACCAAACCTCTCCCATGTACCCTTGACATGCATTGCATTTGTCTCCTGCCTCAACAAGGCATTGTTTTCTGCCAATGTGTCTCGACAGGCGCTTTCCTCCCAGTCCCCTCTATACATCTCATCATAACTGTTTTTCTTTTAACCGTCGCTGTAAAAAGAGAGTTCATGCCAAAGGAGACTTCTGAGGTAAAAGTGCTGGACAAAAAGAGGTGCGTCTGCTTTGGCACTTTCCTTGTTTTCAGCTCATCCAGTGCCTGGGGCACCTCTTAGCTACATGTTTGTAAACCCACAGATAACAGTGGTGTTCAAACTTGTCCCTGAGTCTCTTATCACAGCAGGTCCTGTCAGGCAGCATCCCACTAAAGACGCTCCACAGAATCCCCTTATGTTGCCGTCTGCTGTTAAAAATATATCTAATGTAGATAGTAACAAGTATACGAGATGGATGAATTGTACCTTAAAACAATACAAAAAAAAACTCCAGAGCACCAAAACAGCACCAGAGCATCATAAAGAGGGGCTCGATGTGCTGGCGTGCAGTTTCTCTCAGATCCTGCTGGCAAAGAGAGGCAGGTGTCATTTCTCAGTGACCGCAGCAGCCATTGGGGCTCGTATGGTCCCGCGTGCTGTGGCTGCCAGCTCCTCGATCTCTGCATTCAGTCGCCTGATCACCCACTCCATGGCTTCACGGCCCTGATGGAGAACAAACAAATCAATAAACAAATTAGTCCATACGAGGGGAAATTAAGCGAATTACATGAAGCTGAATAGATGGAAAGGACAAGAATGACCTGTTGCCATGAAAAGAAAAGAGAGCAGTGGTTCTCATCTTTCCAATAGCAAGAAATTTGAGGAAAGATTATCTGAAAGCATGCTCCTTAATCTCTTAATTTGTGTTTAAATACTCAATAATAATATTAGTCAAGTTTTGTGGGGTTTTTTTCTTGTGAAATATTAAATGTGTTACATTGTTTCGGGGCTTGTAAAAATCTGGAAAGCATCACAAGTTACTCTTTGCCTTAACTGTTTACAACTTATGTCCACACTAAAGGGCAACATGTCGACGGTGCTTAATTTCAAGAGATCACAACCTAAAAAAGGTCGGGAACCACTGAAATAAAAGCACAGGTTTGTTATTTTGTGAGTAGTCCAGAACAAACAGTCCACATCATCAAGTGCAGGACCCAAACAATATTCAATCTAGATGTTTAGTTTAACATTTGTCATTTTGGGAACTATCAGAAAAGGGTCTCACACGTGTTTTGGGTCCCACTTTAAAAAAAAAAAAAAAAAAAAGAGCCTTCTAAGGATCTCTAACCTTTCCAGCGTTAGCAGAGATGGTGCTGGCCAATACTCCCTCCAAGTAACTGCTGAGGCTGACTCCTTTCACAGAGATAATCGCCTCCTGGGTCAGTATTGTTCTAGAGTTAAAAGAGGTTAAAAGAAAGTCCTGAATGCTCCAATTCATGATTCATCAGTGTCATTTAAAAATCCCTGCTATGTTAAAGAAAAAAAAAAAAACAAAAAAAAAAAAAAAAACCTACTTGTCTTGGTCCTCAGGGTGTGGTTTGTATGTTAACTTTTCATCCACAGACACCATGTTTGTGAAAGTGATCTGCAGAGGAAATATCACAAAAGACAAATTCATGTTAAGATAACCGTCTTGTGCAGTATCACAGCCCACAGCGAGACAACTCAGACAAGTCCCACAAGTGCATAAACAAACTTGAATTGGTGAAAAGTTGATAGAATATTGATCAAACTAACAACCTGTGGAACAACCAAGACTTCATTCCAGAGATAGAACGCAGTAAGCTCACATGTGTTCAGACCAACGGAAGGCACAAAAGGTGGATCTAGATGGGTGTTTTTGGTTGACACATCTTAAATAGAACACGTTTTGTGAACAGGTGAGCAGGTTGCATAAGCCACGCCCCCACAGTGATGGTGTAATCTCAACATTGACCTGAGGGTACCAGCAGAGGAGGGTGTTGTGTGAGGAGGACTCACATTTGAGGACTGAAGTTGGAAAATCTTCTCTTCGGGATCCACAACCGAGTGCTCCTGAACGTACGTGTATGTTCGTGCGTTACCAATGATCTGAGGGCAAAGACGGAAACACGCTTAGTACAAACTGAAATTAAATGTCAAGACTGTTTTCTTGCAGATGTTACTTAATCTAAGTGCAGACCTTTTTTTTTTTCTACTTTTTAAATGGTGCCTTTATTTACTCATTCATTTATTTATTTTCACACACAGAGCTTCATTCACTGTATTCATCCGTTGACTTAATCTACATTTAAGTTACAATGTCATTTAAAAGAAAATTAAAAATTCACTGAAAGTTACTTCATCAGTTTTCAGTGGAAACACACCAGCAGAGACTGCAGTTGAATAATATGCAGTCCATCTGAACTTGTCCTGCTCACACACCTTGAATTTAACAAATACAGTTATTTATTTTCCTTGAGACTTTAATCTAAAATTACATTATTATTTATTTTTATTTATTATTATTATTATTTAAACTTGTGTCAGAGGAAGACGTCTTCATGATACATCCGGTTTACGCGCTCACGCTGTGGCTCAGGGGTGATTTGCTTCGAGACAATCTGATTACAGGTTGCGTCAATATGCAGTCACTGGGACAGTCTGTGTTACGGACTGTCCTTGGAATTAAAGGGGCTATTCATAGATGTTGTCTCTGACAACAACCCCATCCTCAGACACCTAAGAAAAAGGCCAAAGCTAAACAACAGCAGCTGGTTAGCCAGTGTTTACAGAGGCTAAAACTTTATAGAATCTTTTTCAAGCCTTATCATTATAGTGAATTCAGAAAGTCTACAGATGTTGAAAGTTCAGATGACATGTTGCAGAAATCCCGAGGCCTCCGTCACTGCCTTTCTTTCTAGTAGTGACCTTTAGCCGGGCGGACAGAGATGGAAAGTTACATCACATGGTGTGAAGGGTTACATCTCAGCTATGAGAAAAGAATGGCACTACCGTGTCCTGTACAACACGAGCCGTGGCACATAGCCATGAACTCGCAGCTCGGCTCCATTCAGCAAACCGGGTCTGTGGCTGCCCCTGGACCAAAATAGCCTCGCGGGTTAATGTCATGCTCACAGCCTGGAAAGCATTAACCTGCAGTATGTCTGGGACGTAACGGACTCGGGTTACAACCACGAGCACATACTTGCAGGTCGGGTCATGTGTTTCCCCATTCAGAGTCACACGTGTAAAGCAGTTACACTACAAGGTTGCAGCAGCAAAACATGTGCCAGTGATGCTAGACAGCAGGCCAGTTTTTTAAAAACTCACAGATTTCACTATGGATGGAAGACCCCACTCTGTGCCCAGCAGCCTTGTGCTGTGGAGGCGTCCCTGTTTGTCGATGCTTCTGTCCAACACATCCACTCCGATCACACTGGGGTTCATGGGGTTGGGATACTTCTGCATAGCAGCCTTGGTCACCGTCTCCCAAGGATGGCTGTGGAAGGAAAGCCAAAAAACAAACATATTATTGAAGCATTGCAATAAAAAAAAATAAATTTGACCAACTAAAACAGTAAAATGCTAATTACACACAAAGCGTCAGGGGTAATATATATCCATTAATGTATTATATAATAGCATACCCCTTTCTGGGGCCATTTGCAGGCACTAATTCGTTTTTCCTTTGATACTAATCAGCTAATAATACGATAGGCTTTTTGGTTTTACTAATGTGACATTTTCAATGCAGGACTTCAACTTGTGATAGATTAGGCTATTTTTCAGCACAGTATTGCTGCTTTTACAAGGATCTGAACACTATCATCACCGTTTATGTGACATTATTCTGAAATGAACCACCCTGCAGGCGTCTTGACTCGATGTCAGCGTGTCAATATTTTTTGGGGCCACTTTAATTTAGCCTGGTTCCACAAGACCCGCACGTAAGGTGAACGAGGTGAAAGGAAATGGCATTCAGTCTCAGTAATATAGGTTGATTTTTTTTTTGGAAAGTAAAGATTAATATAACGATCTGACGTCAGGGTGGATGGTTGACATGGAGACGCGTGGACGTGATGACGTAATCCGGTGACGCAATCAGCCACGGCGAAAAATAAATGTGGGAGAAAGGTCCTGACTTGCGAGTTACGCAATTTCATACCTTCGTTTTCTGCAAACAGTTATGTATTCACCATAGATACGGTTTTACGTTTATTTATTCATTGTATGTAACGTTACGCTATTGGTGTGTGTGCATGTTTAAACAACGTTTCCCTTAAAGAAAAAGCTATACCGACTGCAGTGACATGGGGGAATATGTCTAAATTAGGTTCCTATTATAAGTTTCTACCACCAGCATACAAGCCAGTAACTCTTAGGTTACAGTAAGCAGCTTTCTTTAGTTGAGGGCTTCTGTCATAAACCATGCGTGTGTTTGTAACCGGATTAAAAGACAGCTGACGTTACTGAACTGCTGAACAATGAACCGATGAAATCTCTAAACACATCGCCGGAAATAAAAAAAACACAAATCATTTAGCTACTTACTTGAATATGTGCTCTGATGCCCAGATCTTCATTATTTAACGTTGTCTAGCTGGCAGATGCTGGTGATGCCGGTGTCGAGCCGCTGGTGTAAGCCGGTTGGACTGACTGAAATCAGTTGCACGCGGTCAGAGACATCTTCAAGTCCCCGCCCACTGTCCCACAGCAGTCACGTGGGGTGTGATAGCTACGCACTTGCGCTCTTCTTCATGCCGCATAAATCAGCTGACACGAGCGGCAGTTGAATGAAATGGTTTATGTGTAAAACTCGACAATGGAAAAGCCATAGACACACATGGTTATCGCTCCTCACCTACAGCATGCAGTAGGCCACATTTCCTATTAAGCTGTGTAACCTACAGTGTGGACATGTCGGCCATTTAACCTCGGATTTTACACAATTCAGCTGAAGGTTGAAGGTTCTCTGCAACCTTGAATGAATGAAAGACTGCAAGATCAACACGGTGGAAATGTCGTGGGCAGTGCTCTGCAATTTGCCACTGTGGGCTATTGACCCCTATATTCAACAGGTTATTTATTTTTTACTCTTTCAAACTCTTTCACACCTGCCCAAAGAGAGTCATTTCTATGACACAAGTTGCAGAGAACTTTGAAAGTGATGACTTTCAAACTGTAGGACAGGTCAGGATGTGAATCTGAAAAGGTATTGAGATCATTGACAGGATAACAAAAGCAGAAAAAATAATAGTCTTTTTTTCAAGACTGTCTTGTAAATTATTTAATTACATTTGTTATACTTCTTCAGGACAATCAAAAGACATGGGATCTGTGATGAGGGGTTGCGAGTGCTTAATTTGAAGGGGTGACAGGTCATGAAGGTACAGACACAATGAAAGATGTCTGTTGAGAGAGTGCTGGTTTCCCAATTATGCTGTTAACCAGGACACCAACAAGTGGTGTCTTTAATCTGAGAATGGCAGCTCCTATGATAAGTTATGGTTATCCATTACACTTGATACATCATTATTAGTGCTGCCTCTCAGAATCAAATAATTGGTAAAAGTGGGAGCTAAATTCTGGTCCCATCTGGCTGCATATTAACACTTTCAATGCAGTAATACATTTGAAGGCTTTTATTTATCTTGACCTCATTGCCTTCTTGTAACTTTAAGCAGATTGGCCTCTCTGAGGCAATCCTGCTTTTGTCCCCTTAACCCATATTCACATGTGGGTTACATGCAGTATTATCTCCTTTATCCCTATGAGTGTAGGCGACTTCAGTGCAGTAGTGCTCTCCACGTCATGTGTGCTTATCTCAAAGGGCAGACACTGCAGGCCAAGTTATGTGTAATCTCTATGTCCCAGACTCGTAACAGTTGGCGGAAACTGTGTGACAGCCTTGAACGGTGACGGTGTCACTGTGCTGTCAGAGTACTGTCCATCACTGCAGCCGAGTTTGGTTATCAAGTTTCAGTTCAAATGATAAAACTGAATGAAAAATAAATGTATTTTGGTATTTTTTATTAATGTAATGAATGTACCCTTAATAAGAAATCATCAATCTTTGGTGTTGCTGTTTTTATTACCATCATAACTTATAAACACTCAATGCATCATTTACTGTCAGTGGTTTACATTTTTTTCACTTTTATGGCTGTGGATTATATAGAGCTAGCAGAACAAAAACTTTTTCATACTGTATTTACAAACAGTTTCATAGTTTTCAAATTTTACTATCCAAGAAAGAACTTCTAGAAAACAAACATATAAGCATACAGATCATTTGAAGAATGCATAAAATACAATAAGCACTATTGTTTAAAAATGTCACAACATCTTTTCTCAAGTAGAAGTTGTCTAAATCAACCATAGTCATAAATTAAACTACAAAATAAAAGTTCCTTTTCAGACCAACCATCCCGCATATGTTTTACACATCCTTCCAACAAGGTGTCCAACTTACACACCACACTGTATGACCTACTGTATGAACTCAACCACAGCGTCTTTGCTCGTTTCGGTGACTGTTTCCAGTTTAACTTCAACCCGAGACTGAACCTTTGTTGCCGCTGGTGATGAGGGTCCCTCCTCTTCTTCGTCCTCTTCTTCCAAATCTAGATCGGTGGTGGCCTCCTGGTACTGCTGATACTCCGACACCAGGTCGTTGAGGTTGCTCTCTGCCTCAGTGAACTCCATTTCATCCATCCCTTCTCCTGTATACCAGTGGAGAAAGGCCTTCCGTCTAAACATCAGGGAGAACTGCTCGCCCACGCGGCGGAATATCTCCTGAACGGCCGTGTTGTTGCCGATGAAGGTGGCGGCCATTTTGAGACCTCGTGGTGGGATGTCACACACAGCGACCTTGACGTTATGGGGGATCCAGTCCACAAAGTAGTTGCTGTTTTTCTGCTGCATTGCAAGCATCTGCTCGTCCACCTCTTTGGTGGACATCCGTCCACGGAACATGCCCGCCACGGTAAGGTAGCGCCCCCTCCTTGGGTCGCACGCTGTCATCATGTTTCGGGCATCGAACATCTGCTGGGTGAGCTCAGGCACCGTGAGGGCTCTATACTGCTGGCTGCCGCGGGCCGTCAGGGGGGCGAAGCCTGGCATGAAGAAGTGGAGGCGAGGGAAAGGCACCATGTTGACAGCCAGCTTCCTCAGGTCGGCGTTGAGCTGCCCAGGGAATCTCAGGGAGGTCGTGACCCCGCTCATGGTCATGCAGACCAAGTGGTTGAGGTCCCCGTAAGTCGGCGTGGTCAGTTTCAGCGTGCGGAAGCAGATGTCGTAGAGGGCCTCGTTGTCGATGCAGAAGGTCTCGTCTGTGTTCTCCAGGAGTTGGTGGACTGACAGCGTGGCGTTGTAGGGCTCCACCACCACGTCAGAGACTTTAGGGGAGGGCAGGATGCTGAAAGTGTTCATGATGCGGTCCGGGTACTCCTCCCGGATCTTGTTGATGATGAGGGTCCCCATGCCAGAGCCGGTGCCACCGCCCAGTGAGTGAACCATCTGAAAGCCCTGCAGGCAGTCACAGCTTTCACTCTCGTTCCTCACTCTGTCAACCACCTGCTCCACCAGCTCCGCTCCCTCCGTGTAGTGGCCCTTCGCCCAGTTATTCCCAGCTCCTGAGTTCCCTGGAACACCAAAATGAATAAAATAATCCCTCCTATCAATAGAATTAGTGGAGGGAAAACATAACATAAAAACATAAAGCACAAATTGTGCCACATCTCTATAGATTGAACGCTGCATTGCATTTAGATTCTCAGCTCTATATTGACAATATGTTTTGACTTTTCTTTGGTTAAATATTCTAATTTAGGTGATGTTTTTATCTTCAGTTTGACTTATCCAAAAATTGCCTTTTTATAACCAAATATAATTCCCCAGTATGACTGTTTCTGATATTTGTCTCACCGTGGATGAAGTTGTCTGGCCTAAAAAGGGCTCCGATGCGGCTTCCTCTCACACTGTCCATCGTACCAGGCTCCAGGTCAGCAAGCAGGGCCCTGGGGACATATTTACCACCTGCAAACAGAATGGAAGTTAATAACTAATAAAGTCGTAAACTTTGTGTCAAAGTTTGAAAACACTTTTATTTAATCGAACCATGTTCGTGGAATAAACTGTCAGCTATTAAACGGAGAGTGTAGCCTGTATAGAGTAATCACCTGTTGCCTCATTGAAGTAGACGTTGACCCTCTCCAATTGGAGGTTGCTGTCTCCCTCATAGTTGCCTGTTGCATTGATCCCATGTTCTTCACTGATCACTTCCCAAAACTAGAAAGAGAAAGCCAAAGAGGTAGATAATCATATCAACAGATTTAAAGTGTTTAGCGAAAGACAGCTTCGTTTTTACACCTTTCCCCTCTGGGACTTTATATGGTCGTATATGCAGTTAGGCACAAGTATTGTTTAATTGTTTAAATGCATCTCGTCATTAAACTGTGGCAACTCATGATCTTGTTCTAACCAGGTTAAGAATCTCACACACGCTTTAAATGATCAAGATGCCTAATAAGATGAATAATAACGGCTTGATGCTTAGATTGGCACATTCTCCAGTGTCAAACAGCACAATGTGTCTCTTTGGCTGTGGCGATGATAAAAAAGAAGAAGTCCCACCCATACCAGTCTCGCTTTAGCCCTTATCTTTTCCCGTAATGCTTCACAGGGTACACCCTGTGTCACTCACAACTGTTGATGGCAAAATACAAAGGAACAGTGCCAAATTTGCTTCATAATTTTAATAAAATACATGTATTTTTATCATTTTACTGTGTACAGCAGAGATTCTTAATCTGGTCAGAACAAGATCATAAAGGAATATAAATATTTAAAAAATATATATTTACCAAATGTAATCGATCACGTTTAAAACATTCACTCATTTTTTTCTCAGGTAGAGTAAAACAGGAATTTTATTTCATTACCTTTGAGCCGATCTGGTTGCCACATTGTCCAATTTGCAAATGTACAATTTCACGCATGATGATCGGGCTACAGTACACAGAGCAGCTGAGGTGTCTGATGGGCTTCAGTCCTCCAGCCAGTCTTTTATATACACCACCCGAAATGATGCCATCAGGGATGTCAGGGAGTCACCCAACTCTGTGCTATATGGGAGGCCCCTAATACACCACGAACACTCTTAGCAGAATGATAACAAACAAAGATTATTTTCATACTGTATGAGAGGGTTTGCCATACTTTTTATATTCGGTAGAAGTAGTTTAGGTAAGCCTACAGTCTACCAACATGTCACCTTAGGTTTTGTTGTATATCTGTATGTTGTTGTTTGCACACTGTAGTGCATGCAAATGATATAATAAATTATTGATAATTAAGTTATTTAATTGCATTAAAAAGTTATTATAAATAATGGAAAAGGCATTTGGTAATTCCTTTTGTGTAAAGCTGTGCAAACTTGGTGAAAGAACTTAACATCTCTGTTGTTGATACATCATAAATTAATGGATTATCAGCTGTTGCAGAGGAAAACAGTTGGTGCAGTGAGAATATTTTGGGGATATTTGGCTTGAAACACATCTGTGAGCTGTACCAGCGACCAAAAGCAGGAAGGAAGTGAAGAGAAGATGAATGGAAGTGGTTTGTTTCTCTGGCCAGTGTCAGATAAAAGCCATTTGATTAACGACATTAATATGATCATACTGTGTACACACACACACACACACACACACACACACACACAAATGTACCAGACATGTTGTTCCTATGTCTGAAAGGACAGAAAATGCAGAGACATTTAATACAAGATTGTAATATTACAACGTTCTGCCGTTTCACAGCAGTATTTTGATATTGCGCACCTGTTTTCCTTCCAGATGTTAAACAGATAAAGTTTTCCATATTCACCTACTAAATCTGTGTAGGTGTGATAATAATGGTGAAAAACTGTGAAGCAGTTGTGAGATGTGAGATGCTACCATCTAGAGGACTATCACCAGCATAGCATGATACTATTGGAACGGTTATCGTTTTATAGATTGGCAAATTGATTTAATTTGTAAATGTAAGCATTTTCTGATGCCAGGATGTATTTAAGGATTTAGAATACATTCCACTTTTTGTCTTTTTACTCTTTTTCTATTTCTTCTATTTAGATCTGACATGTGAATACAGTGGCTGATTGCCAATGTAATGCTTCAGCATGTTGCTCAAATTGTTAAATTTTAAATCAAGTAATAAGAATATAAATGAGCCACAGATAAGACAATTAAGTATTACGCCTACTTTTATATTTACAGATAGGCGTTACTCAAAACATATATTTTTGACATGTCACATGATAAAGCTCCATGAGAAAGTTTTCATGGATGGGGATCCACATACTGAATAAATAAATATGTATTGTTTCATAGGACACTGACATCTCTCAATTGGATATTTTTAGTCAGACTTTTGCACATTTAATTCTTCCTAGTTTTAATTTCGGTATGGCTCTTTTCATTTAAAAAAGATGTTTATATTATATTAATTTAAAAAAAACTTCTATTTAACATTTATGATTCTTGTATTTTACTTGTTTCCTCTATTGTAATTATGTACTTAAACACCAAGGCAAGTTACTTGTATGTGAAAACCTACTTGGCAAAACCCTGTTTGTGATTCTGCTTCACTCACACAGACAGAAATACCACAAATGCTTGTCGTTTGTTGTTGTGGTGAATACGTACATTTTCCACTACCAACCATCTTTGACAGAACGCATGTGCACAAAGGTTTAGTGTTAGCGCAGGTATACCATGATACTACTTGGCCTTGAGAAAGAAAACTTTGTGCTCTGAGTTTATAAAGTGGTTATAAGGTGGGTTTTTTGTGTGTGTGCGTGTGTGTGTGTGTGTATGATTTTTGATGCACAGTGTTTGCAAGTGAGAGGATACAGGGAGCTGTTTAAAGATCCAGATCACCATTCATTAGGCTGACAGAAACTTTCAACTTTTGTGAAACTTTGTGAAAGTTGGAAACAAATTGGAATTAATATAGGATTCAAACCCTGATTAAAAGTTGAATGCTATTAAATCCTAGCACTAGTCACAGAGATAGCCTAATACACCAAGGCACGTCTTAAAGATGTCTCTTTTAAACGTTCTAAAACTTACATGAAATAATAAATGAGACGATTGAAAAGCCGTTTGTTTAGAAGTAGTATCCTCACTTTATTTTAATCATTCATCAATAATATAAGTATTTGAAGTATATTATTGTTACTGAATGTATATGATGGCATTTACTGTTTTTAGACAATTAAAAAAAAAATCTTATTTTACAGTTTTTCGTCGTCATTGATTAATGTCTTTTGGGTGTATAGGTCGATTATCACTTTGCTTCAAAGAGGGCGCCTCTCCCCTTCTGTACCTCTGCTTCATGACGCTCCGGGCAATCATGTGATCCGACCCTGCTTCATCCAGATGCGTCAAGCTGCAGTAAGGAGCAAACAGGAAGTACTTTAATATTAACTTCAAACTAAAAGCACAACTTTTCTTCTGCCTTGATGAGGAATGGTATGCGTGACATTGTTTTAATAGTTTGTGGGTTTTCATTTATTTTTGCCTTGAAGTATGAATCTTATATATTGATGTATGTTACATTATAAGTGTTTCAATCGGACGAAGAAAAAAAATGCAATTAGAGTTTTGTATTTTAAACTACATCTCTATGCTAAAATGCATAGTGAGCTACTTAAGAGGAAGCAACTCACAAAACATCAGTCATATGAGTTTGATGATAGTAAAAATTTGTGAGCGTTGTAATTTTGTCAGTAATTTATTTAATTTTTTTTCTTCTATTTATACTCACAGTTAGTGTATTGTATTTTAAGGTTGCTGTAAAGTTGTTAAATAACACAAGCCATTGTAATTCCTTTAAAGTATCGGTAACAAAAAATATTTAAAGTAAAATTGTATGATAAAACTGATCGATGGTGCACAATTTATCCGTACATTAAGTTCTTGTGTTGAGGAATGCTCCATTTTATTACTCTTCAGGAAGCAGATCATTTGAATAAAGACTTTAATGTAACCCTCTGCAGATTTTTGAGGGGAAATGTCTTTTGGTGGAACCAACAACTCAGTCATTGGAAACATTGTGAGGGACCCCAAATAGATACTGTGTTTTTGTCAGAAGTCACAAGCCAAAAAGTTTGTAAACCACTGGCTTCATTTTGAACAATGTATTTATGATCGTATCATTGTATTTATATGAAATTTGAAATTTGTAAATATTAAAAGTAACTGTAGCTGGTAAATTGCAGTAAAAAGTGCATTATTTAATAGATATACAAATGTATTTGGTCTCTTTTCACCATTTATTCAACTGAAATAGATGATCAATGTACATTTTAGAGCCCTGCGTAGTCAGACAGGCATATAACAGCTACTGCAGCCCTACATCCGCAGCAGGTCTCTGAGGTTCTCTGATTGGGGTTTGTTGGTTGTTCTTCGCATCAGACTCAAGACAAAATGAGAATGTGCTTTTGCAGTAATAGCTCCTAGACTTTGGAACTATTGGACTTAAGATTCATAGAAACTGTGGAGACTTTTAAAAAACAGCTCATGACTCATTTGCTTAAACCTTGATTTCTACAAATGTTTTGTGTTACTATACTATTTTTTTTAGCTTGATGTCTGCATTTCAAGTTATTTTGTAATTTCTTGTGAAGCACTTGTGACGTCTGCTCCTTAAAGGTACGATACAAATAAACATTGTTATCATTGTTATTGCTATTACAATTATTATTGTTAGTAGTGGTAGTATAAGCATTAGTACTAATATCATCTTGGGCATGAAGCGTCCATGGGGGCTTTATTTTTTAAAGTTTCCACCGGAAGTTCAATTTCTCGTCACGCGGAACTTGACCACAGTTCTTCGTTCCCAGGGTTCCGTGAGAGCCGTTTGCCCCACCCCACCTCTTCAACGCTATCTATCTCAATGTACAATTCTCTGAGAAAAAAGGGGGTAAGATTAATTCAGAGTAACACCGCAAAGAAACGATTCTCATTTCCCCGACCGGCTCACCGGAGCAGACGCGGCCTCTCGGCGGTAAGACAAAACAAGAGCAGTGAGTGAAAACACCGCGGTGCGTTCATGTATCATGCACATGTAACCACAATCTACCGTACGGACTCACGGGGAGAGACTTGACAGCGGGCTGTACCTGCGCCAAACGGGGAAATAACGGAGGATTTTCTACGACTATCACCTGGATACCGCGTCACATTCAAGGACATCCAACTGCCAAAATAACTGCCTTTTGCTCGCGCGGACAAGCTTTTCCGATGTGAGGACAAATACAAATTAACGTGACAGAGAGAAAGAGGACGGAGAAGCGGCCTTTTTCTCTGGGCTCTGGTCAAACCCTCCGCAAAAAAAGAAAAAGAAAAGCAAGCACCAGCATCTGTTGAAGGGGAGAGGAAATCATTTTGACATCGACTAAAAACAGGAAATTATTGATAAAGACTGCAACTCCCCTCCCCAAAAAACGAAAAAAGAAACGGTGTATAATGTGACGGTTGTGAGAAAGAAGCCCCGGTGAAGCTGGTGATTCACATGCCGTCTTTTTAAGAGGAATTACATTCATTTTTTAGTTGGGTTTGCAAACACCCCCCTAAAGAAATAATAACTGAATATATATTTAAAGAAGGGGGGAGGAAGAAAAGGGGTCGAGAAAAATCTAGTTGTAAGTGTAAATGAATTGAATGGCAGTGTGAGATATCTGCCGAAGATGGGCTCCGGAGGAGACGTCTGTTGAGAACATTAAACATAACGTGGAGAAAAAACAATAGTATGTGTTCTAAACCCGGTGTTTAAATAGAAAATATACATTTAAGGGAACGGAAACACGTTCATTCATGTACATTGCAAGGCTGGCAATTCCACGTCCACTCTCGTATCAATGTTGATGACTTCATTGCGGATTTACAGTGAAAAACACAAGAATCGAGCGTCTGTGAGAGAGAGGGCGGCATCGGTGCTCTGCTCCTCTTCTTCTTCTTTTTTTTGGAGTGATCTCCTGTTGATAAATTGCCAGTAAATAGCCACATCCCTCCATCCATATTGTGCCAAAAGCCTGGTGGAGCCCACCGTCTACTACCTGACAGGTTTTTACATCTTGTGTCATCTGGCAACACAAATGTCACCCATTTTGAGCCACGTGTTCCTCTGCTGAGCCAGTCCAGGAATTTAGGATTGATTTGACTTTTCTTCCGATCAACACCCTCCCCCCCTCGTTCCCTCACCCCCCACACACACACACATCCACCCTGCCTCCCCCTGAACCCATCACTGGGTTTTTGGGAAGATGGGCTGTCTTGGCAATAGTAAGACCGAAGACCAACGAAATGAGGAGAAGGCACAGAGGGAAGCCAACAAAAAGATAGAGAAGCAGCTCCAGAAGGACAAACAGATATACCGGGCGACTCACCGGCTACTGCTATTAGGTAGGTTTCTCTACAATTCTGTGTGTGTGTGTGTGTGTGTGTGTGTGCAAAACAATACCAGTGGTTTTTTTTTAACCTGTGGATATAAATGTAATAGCTCCCTTTTTTCAGATTGTACATATGTTTAAAAAAAATCAATATATGATGCAATGACATGATGTCACTACAGCACCAGTGTCTTGACACAGGGCAGTTGAAGAGTTGGCCTGTCTGCTGCTCTCACGGGTCATTATGGAGCATGATTACAGAACATGTGACGGACTGAGGGACAGACTGAGGGACAGACAGACAGATGAAGGCAGCATGCTGAGGCTGGGGGGGCCACACAAACAGGCGTGTAGTGTGCATTCACCTTCAGTCGTTCGGCCTGTAGGCTCCACATTTGATGCCATGTTTCAGATTACGAGCTCACCTTTTTGCGTAATCCTCTTCACACCAGCCGCTCTAGAAATGTATATTCTAATCAGTCATTGAAAAAAAACTCTACTATTTATAATTTGACGAGGCTATTTCTGTCTTTATCGTCCAGGCCTCTACGTCCCACCAAGCCTCTCGTAGTGCGGAGGGCAAATTAGGATCACTATGAGGATTACTAGCTTCCCTTAATAGGACTGTCCCGTTCATGCTAATCTGAAATCGATCCCAGATTTGTACACTTACACTCAGACTCTAAGGTGAAGGCCTGTATCCTAGCTCCTTGTGTCCAGGTGAGGACATGTTTTGGCCTGGCTTGTGTTATTGTCAGTTTGCTAGGACGCATGAAGGACCTCTTTTCTTTTCCTCATGAACATCTGTGAGCATCCAACGTGTATTATCATGCCACATTTATGGAGAATGACATCTTAAAAGTATTTATCAGGGCTCAATTACATCTTTGACAATATTCTAAGCTCTCGTCCACCAGTTAGACAGATTCTTCCCTGATGCTGAGAGCCCCGCTCACATCTGGAAGCAGTGGTGGAAGACATCCTCAGATCCTTTACTTAAGTAAAAGTACCAACACAACAGTGTAGAAATCCTACACTCAACCTCCGACCTAAACAGAATATCAGCTAATTGTACCTAACGTATGAAACGTGCTCATTGTACAGAAAATACATCACATTATGAGATTGTTTGCACTTATGCAACAATGCATAAGTAGCATTTTACTGTTGTAGCTGGTCGATCTGCTAACAATGAATAGACCAATGACACAAGGGGCTCCATCTACACACTGTCAAAATGTCTAAAGGTTTGGGACTACTGGTTTATCTTTAGCAGTGTGTTGTATTTATAATCTTATTTAAAATCCTAATCTGAAGAGTAACTAGTAGTAACCCACACAGATCCAGCATTCAATGACACAAGCTGTGAACCATCACCCACTAGTTTCATGGATCCCCATTCTGGATGTTTTAGTCTTTGCTCTTTTAAAGGAGTTTTTGTTTTAAACTCTTAATAAACACTTGTTTTTCTGTCCTCTTTCTGCTCTCAGGGGCCGGTGAATCCGGGAAAAGCACGATAGTCAAACAAATGCGAATACTGCACGTTAATGGCTTCAACGCAGAGTAAGTGTCGGTCACCCTAATCTCACACACCTTCAGCACACTCAATCACTAAACCACCACAGACATGTTTTTAGCGATTTTATTTACAGACTGTAGGTGTAATTAGGATACTTACAGTCTTCATGACATCCTTAACGACACAGTCAGCTCTGACACTCACCACTAACAATACCCACGTATTACTAATCTCACCTTTCTTCTAGCTTAAATATTATAATGTAGCTTTCCTTTTGAATCTTTTTCCTATTGTTTTCTAATGTGACATTGAAATATAATTGTACTGATTATTAGAAAGAAACCTTAAAGGGATCTTAATCAACTGAAACTGATCACCTGGCTGGTGAACAAATATTTTGGAGTAAATAGAAACGGTAGCGTGACACGAGCAGAATGCGTTATCATGGAAACATTGCCCCGGGTGCTTTCAAGCCACTCTGCCTTGTGAATTTCCTGAAAGTCAATCCCAAGTTGACGCAATGGAAACAATAGTGACATTTTTCTATTCTGGATCATCTGATTCCTAGAAAGGTTTTTTTCGGGGGCAGGGAGCATCATCATGCGCTTATTTTTGGGTCACGTCGAACAGTTGCTGCTCACAGACCCAGACGCTCTGGTGTCCACAGTCCCGTTTAGCTCCGGGGGGGGATTGTGGCTCTCTTTGGGGCCCGGAAGGTCCACATTTAACAATCTGGAATCTGTGTGTTTTTGACGACAATTATCAGTTCAACAAGTGTTTCCTTTATCTTATAATCCTTACAGCTCGTATTCTTCTCACTTTTAGTGTTAGCTTCCATGTGACGGAGCTTCTCTCTCTAATGTCTGGTTTCTTTTTGTGTAAGTTGACTTTGAAGCTCGGTGAAGTGAGTGAATATCTGTAACCTTTCGGTCATCATGATTACTGACAGCTCCTCTAAAGTTTAAAATATCTTCTGAGAGCACCAAAAGATTGATATTGAGGTATCGGGTTCTAAATATCATGTCTGTATCACCCAATAATAATAATAATAGACAATTCAAAATGGTCACTAACAAACAGAGAATTGTCTCGAGGAAATATGAACACCGTCTCCAGGCTGAAACTTTGTTGTCTTCACAACATCTATCGTCAGGGTTTTGATTACAGAACACATTCATCCATGCTTTTAATTTGAAATCCTCCTGCTCAAATGTACTGCACACAGTGCACTTGAACATAACAAACATGTGTTTTGCTGTGCTTGGTGTTGCTCTGGTATACTGGGATGTTTTGCT